ATAGGTGTCCCCACCAGCCACCCCTTTCTGAGGCACCCCACTTCCCAGTTCCCCATCCTGCTCCCTTCCCAAAGAGCTACACCCCAGCAGCAGCACCAAAGTGGGGTGACAGTGAGAGTCATGCCAGCAGGGGCCCTCCTCGGGGCACCCAGTGGGTGAGCAGCTGCACAGCAGACACCAAGCCAAGCGAAGCTGAGCAGGATGTCCCAGTCCCCATGAGTCAGGGCTCCCTGCCACGTCCAGGAGAGTCTGGCTTACAAGCCAGTRGTGCAGATCCTTTCCCCTCCAGCTGCTGCTGGTGAGGGCCCCTGAGACTCTGGGACTACTGGGAGTTAGGGTCCTCTTTTCTCCCACATGACATCTGGAGCCAGGCCAGAGCCCTGCTGGGAAGCCAGCTGGGAGAGTCACTAGGGAGTCCCAGACAAGTCAAGCTATCCGGCCTTTCCCAGCCCTGCCACTGCCAGGGCTCAGGCCGCAGCACAGCCATGCACCCCAGCTCCTGCCCTGATCCCTGCCCTGCTAGTCCCTGCTTTCAGGGAAGCTGCTAGGACAGGGCAAGGCAATCACAAAGGACAGGCACCAGCGTTCACAAGGCCCTGGGGACAGGCCAGAGCTGCTGCATGGTCCCTGGGATGGGGCTGGCTGGAGAACTGCAGCAGAAYCACCCAGCAGGAGTGCAGGCAGCACCCAAGGGTGCTGGCAACCAGCCACTGACAGCTGCCAGCCCTGTCCCGGGGAGCCTGCCARGGAGCCAAGGGCACTGAGTGGGCAGTGAGGGCCACACTGGATAGGAGTGGGGATCAGAGCTGAGGTGTGAAGCAGGATCCTTCACCCAACCCTGCTCAGGGGTGTCCTCTCCCAGTCACAGGACTRACTCTGGCAGCAGCAGGGTGCTGGCAGGAGCCCACCTCAGGCAAGGAGGAGCTGAAAAAGGCTCTCAGTCCAACACCCCAGCTATGTCCACCCTCTCTCTGCAGGATGCACAGCAGCATCCCTGCGGGAAGGGGTGTCCTGGCATGGGCCAGCAGCCCAACCCCACACCCAATTATTTTCTAGAAAGTTGCCCTCTGGAGAAAAGCTGGCTTTGCTGTTATCACCYAAACTTTTGCCCGATCGCAGTGCCATGTCACCCTGCACAGCCCATTGACACAGGCACCTGCCTGCCCCCAGCATCACCCAGAAACCCTCCCCAAAAACTCGTGCAGCATATCCAGTGGTGGTGTCTCAACAGCCAGATGGGGAGGCAATAGGGAAAAATTAGAGCTGGTTTTAAGGGCCCTTTGGCAGAGCAGCCCACGAGGCAAGTAGAGAACAACATACAGTAAGAACAAAAGCAAAGCACTTCATCGAACAGCAGCCACAGGACACTACGAACATGAGTGGGCTTATAAACATCTGCTAAGGAGGGGGTTATGAAATATGTTATCTCCCCCCACCGCAGCATCTGTSCAGGGTGGGAGAGGCCAAAAGCAACCTGAGGCTGGGGTGCTGGTCCCCAGGGTTTCACRCCGGTGCAGTATGTGCCACGGGGCTTGGTGATGCTCGTTTCGGAGGGGATGCTCATCYCCGTGGACTTTCTCCTTCTTCCCACAAGACATCCCAGGGCTGGCAGAYGGCCGATGGCCCCCGTGCCCCAGAGGCGGCCACCTCCCAGCCAAAAGTGGGGCGAGGGGCCGCATTCAGCCAACCAACACTCCCCCTCCCCCTAATTTTTCCCAGTCCCCGACACATGCAAAAACTTATTCAAAAAAATGAGAAACAACCTCAAAATCAGGCTTCCACCCGAGCCGGGGCGGTGCCGCCCATGAGTGACCGGAATCGCATCCCCCGGGTCGCATCCCGGGCCTCCCCCGCCCGGCCAGGCCTGCCCGCGCCGCTCCACTCACCGC